TCCAACACCTTTGACATTCGCAGGGATTCGAAGCACAATTGCCACCACACCACCAAATATTTCACAGTACTCAAAGGTTTCCTGGCCGGCTTTCTTCAGCAGCTGCTCACGATCTCGCCGACCTAGTCTAGCTAGAAGGGAAGTAACGAGAATCAACTCTACCAGCCCTCACAAATTATAAACCGCAACATCAGGCAAAGATCTCCAGGAAACTCTCCCAACCCATAGTAAGTTTCAAAGGTTGCCATGTTCCACTTCAAGAGGCCCTGCTCATGTGCAAGGAAAGGCCAAACAGTGCAAAGCCATGCTTGGATCTGAAGGAATGTCATAACTGGTGCCCGGACCATGGCAACCACTCGAAACTAAAGATCCCAGCACTAAGAGCAAAATTAAACAGCTGCCGGTGCAGCCAATCCTTGAACAAGCACTCCTATCTAGATAGGAGAGACACGGCGTGGTTTTGCTCCACATTCCTGAGATAGACACCTGACAACTGAAAGTACGCAAATCTGATAGTATGTGCACAAATCCCCCCGAATATATGGAGATGCTTGAGGATGTGGCAAATCGAAAGAGGGATGGCGGGTTTATCCATCAACGGTCAACGTGAGTTTCCCAAACACGTACTCACCCTCCGGAATTTGAACTATTTTGGGGCTCCTTTTCAGCCCCCTCCTTCAAAGATGCTGATGAACCAAGAATGTGTTTGTGGGTTTGTGCATGTTTTGGACTGAAATCATCTACCCCCAGTTCTTTTGGAACCAGGAACCTGGCGGTTCTTTTGGAAGCGCATTACATATTGTTGAACCTCCGCTCCGGCAATAGCCTTTCCAAAACATGCCCGATGTTGACCGAGCCCCGCCATCAACCCGTGAACAAGACCGCCTTTGTCCGCAGGTCTTGTTGTGCCTGCCTCCCTTGGATGAGGAGGCACGCCTTTTGCGATGCATCTAGTGACCTATACCGGGGGTGGATGGGGATGGGTTGGCCATTCCAGGAACCGCCTCGCTTGATGTGAAATTCTGACAGAAGAATTGGGGAAGAATGAAATGCAAGCTGAATGGGGCCTGCACCATGTCCATCTTTCACCGAATTCTTGCGGACTTGGCTATCCGCACGATCCGAATTGCTGTGGGTCTTGGAGAAACATGAAGGCCCGACTCCTTGAGGCTCCACACAACGACCGAACCCACCTGTAACATACGACTGTGGCTCTGTGGCTGAGCTTATGAGTGATTGTTCCCTCCGGTACGATGGCCAACTGGGTGTCTACGGCCAAGCGCTGCGCTAAGCGGGATTTTGTTCAGGGGACAACATGTGTTTGACCCAGTAGCTACTCACTACTGTAGGTGACGGTGGAAAGAACATGGATTTTGGCTGGGCTCCACCTAGTCCTGTTGAACCGATGTGATTGTCACAACTGGTGGAGAAATCTACACCCCCAAAAAGCCAACATGAAATCTGCAAGGATGGTATTATCCTTGCCCGCTCCATTGTTTGTGGTCAGCTTATCTCCCTAAAAGCCACCTGCTTGGTGGAACGCAAAACAACACCTGTCCAGTCGGCTGGAGCAAGCAAGCGCGCCTGGTGGCCGAGCCTGAACTGGACAGGGCCAGCTCGGTAGGGGTCAGCCGGGCAGCGGGATGCGCTCTGTTAACATGGTTGCAGGTGCTACACAGATGAGTGCGTCTTCCGTCTTTTTGTGGATAGTCCTCCAATTATTAAGACATGACACGTTAATGGTCGTGCTCCTGACACCTTGATATCTGAACTTGTTTGTAGCTCTTGGCGCATCGATGTGGCCAACGCTGGTATGATCTATGCAGAAGCCAGGAAGGCATTTTCCAGCGACGGCCTTTCTTGCAAAGGGATCCGCAGGGGTATGATTTCTGCAGAACATCTCCGATGCTCGGGACACGCACTCGTCACAGCGTGCTCCAGATATCTCCAGATAAGGCCTCGGCGGTCTTCAAGGGTCTGGATCAGGACGGGCCACACCGTGAGGGGTCGAGCGAGGCTGACCACACCGGTGGGGGCCGAGCGTTGCTGAGAGGTCCTTTTGGATCTTTTGGGCATTTGGCGGGACCAAATTCGAGGCGGACAACCAAAGCTTCTCAGGGCCCGTGTTCTTTACAGAGGAGCGATGTGAACAAAACATAATATAAGACATGTTATAGTTGAGCATTTATATAGTAAGCTTGGGTGTGTCATCAAGGGTTTGGCTGGCCATGTCATCCGACGAGTCAGAGCTCATCCTATTCCAGGTCATGTGGTGCTTACTGACCTGGGATCTTGAGAATTAAACTTGGTTCCAGGAACGACCGCGCGCAATCCACCTAATCAGCGGGTCCAACCAAGCAATGGAGTCCACGGGCAAAAATGACCTGCGATTGCACAAGGTGATTCTCATTTTGTCATTTTGGTGTTGGATTTTCCTCATCCTATAGATTGGGGTCAATCTAGACGCTGAATAAAACCAACCTATAGATGCTTAGCGGTCAACAAAGCCATTAACTGACGTTGAATGCATGCTGCACACCGGAATATAGACTTCTCATGTACAACTGCCTTGCCATCATGTTTGTTCGCTTGAATCACATGCTCCGCACCACTCAGCTGTTGGTCCACAGAAGTGTTTCGCGCACCGGTGGTGTTTGCCGTGATGGCGGGGCTTCAGTTCCCGGCCAATGAGAAGGGCGAGAGGCCTTCGGGGGCCGCTGAGCAATTGCGGAAGACAGCGGTTTGCGCCCGGTTTGGGTGGTTTCACCTACCGGTCCTCGAATAGTACCTGATGCAAAAGCTTGCATTCAGGCGAACATGTCCCACAGACAGGGCCTTCGATGGACTATGTTTTGATCAGCACGGGGCGTTCGTTGTGCAGAACAGCTCCCACGGCCGCTCCGCTCCCCTCCCGTCACCACCGCGAACCGTCACCGACGGAGTCGCGGTGTCGGCACGTGACCAGGTCGACCACCTCGTTCAACAAGGCGGTCTACAGCACGATGGCCAGCAGCCTTGGAGCCAAGGACCGTGGGCCGAAGGGCCTGACGAAAGGCAAGTTAAGCAAAACCCAGCTCGGGTGTTCGAGCATGTGGTCTCTCTGGCCACTTGGGTTAAGGTGGGACTTGGAATGACTTGGAATGGGCCAGGAGCTGGTAAACTATGATTGTCCCGTGCTGTTTTCAGAGCTGAAGGATTGAAATACCGAGTGCTCTTTCATGTGTTCCCGGGCTCTATGTGGCACCGGGGCCAACATCAAAGTCAGCTATGGCTCATATCTCAGCCTTTAGCTAGCCTGCTCAAACGCCCAAGGGGGCCTCCCTCGGCTACTGCCATGGGGCGTATACCAGACCCCTGCAAGAACATGGACCCTCAGTGGATCTGACACCGTGGAAGACCGACCGTGAAAACCCATCCGATCGATCTGCTCGATGCTCGATGCTCAACCCGTCCTTGAATCCGTCCCTTCGACCGGGCGCAATCTCGAGCGCGCGAGACGCCAGGATTTGGAGGACAAGATCAAAGGAGAGAAGGATTGGAGACACAAGCACCTCGGTGGAGATGGCAATGGATCTGAAGACACATGAAGAGCGCAAACACAAGCCGTAGAGCGTCCCCGGTCCCTGGGATTTGTTTGGTGTTTTCGGATATGTGTTAACGTTCAACTGGTCAACCAGCTTTCTACTTGGGATGATGTTTTTCAATGCTTTTCAAGTTTGCTGAACACATTTTTTTGTTGGGAAGTGTTTTTGGCAAGGTCTGGTTGATTCCTTCAAGCAAACCTCAGTGGAAAGTCTTGCCACTGGTGACGCCTTTTTTTGCATCAACAGTGGTTGCTGCGGATCGATAACCAGCCAGGTATTGCCTGCATTTGGATCAGCTAGTCGAGCAAACCCTGCTGCTCAAGGCCATGTGTTTGTGCAACTCGCGGATTTTGTGTTTTGCACATGTGTCCAAGATCTATGATATCAGATTCATGGATATTCATGGTGAAATCTCATGAAATCTCCAACCTTTCCTACACAGACACCGACCGATCTGCGCAGATGGTTGCGCCCAACTGGAAGCAGTTCGAAGGTCCCAACGTCAATACTATAATTTGTGCATCAGAACCAAGACTGCATAAGACTTCCAGGTCTACTTTACAATAGATTTTGCTTGCAACAGGGCGGTTGTTGTACTTGTCTCGATAGATTGCAGCATATGACATATGGATCATCCACAGCTTGGACACCGGGTTCTTGGTCCGCCTTTTGGGCTGCCCAAGTTTGGTCTATTTTGTTTTTCTTTGCCAAACTAGCAGCTCAGTAACTCAGTAGCTGAGAATTTACCTCCACCTTTGTGGGAAGGACTCCGCAAAGCTGCAAGAAGTTCTCAGCAAGGGCTTGGAGAAAGCTTTGGCCTCAGCAATTCTCAGCATATGCTGTGAGGAAAGGGCTGGTAGGCAGGTGTTGTGAGAATGGCGGGCTGTTCGTGGAGAGTCGTTTCATGTCATTTGCAATTGCCCCTCCAAATACGGGTCAGCCCCAAATCTGGACAGATAGGATTCTGAGACTCCAAAGTGAAGCCAGAGCTTTGGATGAATCCTTGGGAACAGGTTTTCGGCAAAAGGCTTTTCTAAGTGAATGCTACGGGAAGCATGTTCTGACAGCAGAATTTGAGGTGATATTGTAGAACGTGCACATCAGCAATAAGAAAACAACAGCCATCAACCTAAAAGATGTATACGTTTTTCTTCTCTGTAGACCAACACGTTTCGCAACCAGAGGCACGGGCCATGGACTTCGACGCGGGCAGTGGCCCAGTGCCCTTGAAAGACGCCTTGAGTGCAGCAGTTTCATCGACGCTTGGCCTCCGCCCGACGATGAGTCCCCAGAGTCCGGGGCCGACGATGGGCCGAGTATCGAAGGCGAAGGAGTGGTGGCCCTCAGACGAAGGAGTCGATTACAAAACAGGTCCACGCCCAACACCTGAAACCATTGGTGGTAATGCCCTGCAGGCTTTGAATAGTCGTTCTTGCCGCCCTGCGAATGTGCCATAGGCTGATAAATCATGGGACAAGCTGTGCCATTCCTCCATCTCCATTGTTTTTTGAGATGATTTGAGTTTTGATTGAAGTTTGTTCATGCCTAACCGCAAAGCTGACGCTGGTGCCACTCGGTCTGATTTCGAGCATATCTCACGCCAGAGCACAAAACTGGGCATACAAAAAAACACTTATATGGAAGAGAAAGGGCATGAAAGGGCCCATAGATTCAGAAGTATTTTTTCATCCTCAGTCCCTAGGGGTCCAGTAGTACCTTCTCAGAAGGTACGACTGGACCCTCCTGTCACCTACATAGCAGTGTCTCCTTCCTCACCTTCTGAGAAGGACGACTGGATCCAACCACACATCCCCCCAAATCGTCCCGCCCAGGAAGTTCACCACTGTCAAGGTGTGGTCAGCGTTATGTCAGGTGGACTCCCGGTTTGGAGATCTCAGAGTGGAGCTCAGAGATTCTCAAGAGTGGACTTAACAAGGTTAAACATTTGACATATTTTTGTTGCTTCATGATAAGAATCAACGATTCAGATAGCAATCCAGATGTATATCTGTTTGCTTCCTGCTCGCGTGAACATCGCATGAACATATCTTCCTTCCGGCGTGGGGGGTAGCTGCTTGAGGGCTGAATTCGAAGACGTGGAGACGTGGAGGACACGGCGACATCGTGAGTAAGAGAATAGAACAGCGTCACTGCAGACTTCATCAACATGGCATCCTGGAAGTTGAGAGTTGACATGAGTTGACAATACATATATATATAATATTATGTATATGTATATATATATTCTCCAGTCACGGTGGGTGTTTATTTTTTGGCAGGGGCGGATAGCATCGATTTGGTTGAGGATGTGTAGTGAACATCAGTTCATCCATGAAAATGACATTGAACAGATTCCCAAGTGCCTCCAAACCCATTGAAAAAACATTAAAGAACTATCATCCTTTTTCGCATCTTGAGTCTATCATTCGGCAGTCGTCGAAACGCGGGTGCGACATGAAAGAACTCTCCTTCCTCCTTCCAGCAAACCTGTCCCAGCCTGCGCCGGTGTCGAACTCGCCGTTTTTATCCAGATCTCGGGCACTGGCACGACGAGTCCAAGCTTCGTGTTGCCCTACAATGGGAAGGAACTCACAGGTGAGGCTTTGGAGAAACAATGCGACTCTTGGGAAAGATTGGAAAGATATGGCAAAGGATAGGGGATGGACGGCCAAAGTGCGTGTGTTTGTGTCAATAGGTGGGATTGGTGAAACATTGGTTTGCGGGGTGGAGGAGGTAGCTTAGCTAAGTTCAGTTTGTTGAGTTTTGTGTTTTCTTGGGGCTGTGTTGATTTTCAGGGGGTGGAAGAGATTTCACCTTCAGGGAGATTTTGGCTTTAGGTCTGGGCTGTTTGGGATTTGCTTCGGAGCGCAAGTCCGGATTTCGACGTGTTTGCAAGGGAAATTGGAGGGGACATGTTCTGCTTTTGGCTTTGATGGAGTGATAATGGCTTTCGGTGTGGGTTTGCCTGAGTATTAATTGCGTTACATTTGTTGTATCTTCATGAGGATTGGATTTGGATAGCGCCTGCTGCATCCAATGTCAGGACCCTTCTACTGCCATCAAGCAGGTCACTAGTGCTTCCGAAAACTCACGAACTAACGCCAGAGACCCCTAAAAGAGCTAATAAAGGGCATCACCGAATTCTGACCAAATAACGTGGAGTGGTGTTTGTTTGAAATGCCTGCCTGCCCATCCTGTCCCTCGTGCACCATAACGCATCGTCCGCGCTCGGTCCACTAAGGACCAGTGGAGCGCCTATGGCACCATGGAACCGGACTGCGCGGCCGCCATCAAGGCGGGCGCCCAGCGGCTGCATGCTGTGAAGGGACGGACTTTCCTCGTGCTGCTCGTTCGACGAAGAGCGAGCCGGAGGGAGGAGTTCTGGGAGGACAGGGACTACTGACATCAAAAGGATTTGTGGACTTGAAGTGAGAAGAGTGATTCTGGTGGGTGTATATAGGTGTAGAACACGTTTGGATGTGCTTTGTTCTTTTGGGGTTGGAACCGGTTCTGGAAGGAACCGTTTGGGTGCTCTTGCTCTCAGGGTATAGGAGCACCCGTTTCCCATCAAAAGAACTAGATTCAATCTAACGACATCCATCATCCAGCCTTGTTGCTCGGGGCCATTGGATTTGGTCGTAAGTTGATGTTAACTTGATCCCCGTTCCGAGTCAGTAATCATAGGTCAGTGAAGTCACTGATGAACACTTGCAGCTCAGCCAAGACCACAGCAAAAACCAAGGGACCCAGTCCGAATCTCATTGGAGTTCCCAATTGACTAACTCTAACTATTCATGTCATTAAAATTGTATATATATACCGTTATTTTTCTTAAAATCACTAGGTTGCTGAAGGCCATGTGTCCAACCGCATGTTTCCCCACTAGTGTTTCTTAATGCTCCATGTTTTCTTTTTTGACAGATGTGAAAGATCAACGGTCATCAATCGCCCAAAAAAGAGACAACATGACAGGAATCAGTGAATCAAAGCGTTTCCTTCCTCCCTGACATCCATCAGCGACTTCATGACTTACTCTCGCCGCTCCTCCTTGAGACCTTGGGAGCTAGCCAGCTAACGCGCTGCACTGAGGCTGGGTGCCGGTTCTGAACTGGGACCCGTGAGGCCTTTGTTGGAGGCGGCAAAACGAACATTCGGTGGGAGGGCGAGCGAAAATGGAGCTCTGCGGAGTTGATGTGGTTGATGTAACATGATGTAACCATCAGAACCATCACTCATGAGCCAAACATAAGGCTACATGTATCATATTTATATATATATATAACGATGCGGTGAGGCTCTCGCTTGTGACGCCGAAAATCACGTCGCTTGTGACGCCGATTTGCCCATAGCACCACACCACACCACCACACCCAGCATCATTTGTGCGGCGTAGGCATTTGCGGGCTGCCCGGAGTTCATTTTGCTATCGTAAGATGTGATGATGTGGCCATGGGCCAATCATTCCATTAGATCCCCACCCACCCATAAGGGGGTTTGATCATCACTAGTGATTAGGAGGCCAAAAATCAGAATCCATACAGCATCGAAGCGGCGACAAGACGAAGTGACGACAATCGCTCTCATTTGCAGAATGGTGGGCCACTGCCATGGCTGGCAATCTTGTTGTAGTTAAAACGGGGCCCAGTGGGAACTTAAAGTCAGAACGCTGCAGGTACGCAGTTGGACGTCTCCAACTGTATCACAGGTACGTGATGAGCGTGTTTGTTCGCACCGGTCTCATCAGCACCCCTGGTGCCCCCCGCTATTGAAAAGGAAAATCCCAATCAAAGGACTCCCTGTGACTCCAAGGGCTTCACACACACGCGCGCACACTCTGACATTGGTTTGCAGTTAACTCAATTCCCACGTTGAGAAGGAAGGTGAACGAACGGAAAGGTGGAAGAGTCGGCAGAACAGTATTGTTTAACAGAAGGTTTCGCGTGACTGCAGAACACTAGTTACTGAGTACTTAGCAGACCTAGGAAAGGAAAGAGTGAACCGAAAGGCGAAGAGTCCGAGTACTTGAAGGTGTATTAACAAAAGTTGACGCGTGACTGCAGAAAACTAGTTACTGAATACTTAGCAGACCTAGGAAAGGAAAGAGTGAACCGAAAGGCG